GTGAGCGAGCGAGCGAGCGAGCGAAGGGCTGCCGGCTCGGCGTTGGCAACCCTGCCTTCCCCCGGGCTGAAAAACCCGGCAGCTTTGGCGACGCGCCTTTAGGGCTTCGCCGCCCTGCTCTCCGCCAGCTGGGCAAGCGGCGAAGTTTCAGGGAGGACGGCCAGGTGGAGCCGGCTCGGCCGGGTGGCCTTTTGACCGGAGGGTCCGCGGCTCGTGGGAATTCGGCAGAGGCGGGGCTGCGGCGGCTCTCTGGGTGGCCTGAAGACCCGCGTGTAGGGCAGGGTCAGGCTTTTGAAAGCCCTCTTTCCCGACGCCGTCAGCTGCACGGATTTTTTTTCTTTCTTTCTTTCTTCTTCTGCTCCTTCCCCTGGGTGAATGCGTGTCAAGATGCTTGTCAGAACGCGCCCCGGATCCTGCCCCTAACCTTTGGACGCCCGGAGAAGCGAGGTCAGCGCGGTTTGGGAGGGGGAAAAAAAAGTCGATCTGGAAGTGATCCACAAAGCAGGCAGACTCGATCCTCTTTGCGACCAGCTGAACAGACTTATAGTGGCCCAGAAAAATCTGGGGCTCTCTGAGCCAAAGGCTGGCGTGTGTGTGTGTGTGTGTGTGTGTGTGTGTGTGTGTGTGTGTGTGTGTGTGTGTGTGTGTGTGTGTGTGTGTGTCACACACGTGTGTGTGTGTGTGTGTGTGTGTGTGCAGGTGTGTGCGTGTCAAATTGGAGCCCTAGGAGATGGGATTCCTTCAGCCTTTTAGCCCCAATCCTAAACTCCTTGGGATGGAAACGAAGTCCTTTTAAGGCTCCTCGTTCATTCCTGAGTCTGTCTCCTGGGAATTTGGGGTTTATTTATTGCTTTTATTTAATTTCTGCTTTTATTTTATTTATTTATTTTTTAAAGGTAAATCTCGCCCGCTTTCTGCCCGCTGGATTGCCAAGTTAGCGTGCTTGGGAGTCCTCAATTGTGTGGGTTGTGAGACAAGTCCATTGGATGGCTAGGGAGAACGAATTGTGTTGTCTTTTCCTAAACCTCCTTCCCAAATCACAACCCTGACAAAGGCTGAAGCCCAGGGAAAAAGGAAAGGGTTTTGTGTGTGTGTGTGTGTGTGTGTGTGTGTTGTTGTTGTTGTTGTTGTTTGAAGGGTGCACCTGTCTTCCAATGAGTAGTGGGTCTGTCTCTGCTTCCTCCTTCTTGGAAAATTCAAATGTGAGAACTGCCTGCCTTGAATCTTTGAAGACCTGTCCAGTTTCTTTTCCCTCTGTTGTTGTTGTTGTGTGTTTGTGTGTGTGCATTATTTTTGAATAATGCACAAAAGAAGAGAAACTGGAGAGGGAGAAGGAGAGAAAAGAGAGAAATTGGAGGGAGAAGGAGAAAAAGAGAAGGATGCAGGAAGCCAATTACGATACATTCGCCCGAACGGGTTTTCCAATATGTGGCGAGCAAGTGTGACACACCAGACCAGGGTTGTGGTAGGAAAGCAAGGGGAATAAAGTGGGCCTCAATAAGCAGAGTTTACTAAGAGGTTAAGGGAAGGATGGAAGGGCACACACACACCCCCTACTACGTGGTGAAGTCTGTTTGGAAATGGGTCGGGTTTTCGAGAAATAATCTGGATTATTTGTGTTGAACTATCCGGATTTCTTCGAGGTTTTTCAGTGGGGTTGTTTGCATGGGAGCTGACCGGCCCCATTGTGGCCTTGCCAATTCAGAACCAGTAACAGAGCTGGAATGAAGGCAGTGGATGATGGGATCTGGGAGTCTGGGATGGTCACTGAAATGGGGCCTCTCCAATTCAGGACCAGGAAGAGCTGGAATGAAGGCAGTGGATGATGGGACTTGGGAGCCTGGGATGGTCACCGAGATGGGGCCTCTCCAATTCAGAACCAGTAAGAGCTGGAATGAAGGCAGTGGATGATGGGATCTGGGATGGACACTGAGATGGGGCCTCTCCAATTCAGGACCAGGAAGAGCTGGAATGAAGGCAGTGGATGATGGGATCTGGGAGCCTGGCATGGTCACTGAGATGTGGCCTCTTCAATTCAAAAGCAGTAACAGCTGGAATGAAGGCAGAGGATGATGGGATCTGAGAGCCTGAGATGGACACTGAGATGGGGCCTCATCAATTCAGGACCAGTAAGAGCTATAATGAAGGTAGTGGATGATGGGATCTGGGAGCCTGAGATGGACACTGAGATGGTGCCTCTCCGATTTACGACCAGTAACAGAGATGGAATGAAGGCAGTGGATGATGGGATCTGGGAGCCTGGCATGGTCACTGTAATGTGGCCTCTCTGATCCAAACCAGTAACAGAGCTGGAATGAAGGCAGTGGATGATGGGGCCTGGGATGGTCACTGAGATATGGTTTGCATTCCAGAGAAGCATCTGTTAAGTTAGGGGAATCTATTGCACTGTAAGTCAGTGTTTTTCAATATCTGCCTTTTCATCCAATCATTGGGGGGATTATGGGATAGAGTTGAGATTCGAACTCGGGCTTTTCCCGGTCCAACAGTCCGACAAACATACACACACACACACACACACACACACACACAAACACACACAAACTTTGCATTAGAGCTTCTCTTGTACACATCCCCCAGTTTCATTGAAGCCCCTCCAGCCTGCTAAAGGAACGAGGATCTGGGGGAGGAGGTACCCGGACGACCACCTTGCGAGGTAGACCACCCTTACCCCCAACCAGCAGAGGAAACGATCCTGAGATGGAGGTTCGCCTCTTTCCCCCCGGCCTGGCGTCCTCCGACACCTTAGCCCACGACTCCCGTCCCCGCTCGGCTTGGGTGGGGACGATGGGAAATGTAGTCCGAGGCACACAGACCATCCCGGCTTGGGAGAAAAGGGGGGGGGCGCTAAAATGAGAATAGCAGCAAGCTCATTCGGTACAACGGATCGGGAGAGGAATTCGCGCCCGCCTTAATTTTAATTCAGTATAATAAGTCCGGTGAAAAATGTTTTTCGATCGCCTGGGGAACGGGAAATAAAATAATTTAAAAAACAAAAGCGCAGGCCCTATAGGCCGTCCTCGGCATACCACCATCACAACGGAGGCCGAAATTTTTGTCGCTAAGTGAGACGTTTCCTAAGTGAGCTTTTGCCCCACTTGACGACCTTGTCACGGTTCTTAAGCGAATCCCTGCCATTCTTAAGCAAGTCACACGGTCGTTAAGCGAATCCGGCTCCCCCCTGTTGACTTGGCTTGTCAGAAGGTCACAAAAGGGGGATCACGTGACACCCCCTGGGACACTGCGACCATCATAAATACGAATCAGTTGCCAAGTGTCCGAATTTTGATCACAGAACCCTGGGGAGGCTGCAACGGTCATAAGTGTGAAACATACTCCTGAGTCCCTTTTTTTCAGTGCTGTTGTAACTTGTTCTAGGGTTTCCTGAATGAGCAGGGGGTTGGACTAGATGACCTCCAAGGTCCCTTCCAACTTTATTATTATTATTATTATTATTATTATTATTATTATTATTATTATTATTAGCGGCGAATGTTAAAGGTCCCTTGCAACTTTATTATTATTATTATTATTATTATTATTATTACTATTATGGATCATCACACAGTCAGCCAGATGTTCAGACTGGATTTGGCATTTTGTCTACCTATCGAGTCCTTACCCAGGACCTGGGATAGGCAGATGTGGATGTTTGATGGTATCACAGATCTCGTCGCAGGATGGAAGCAGTTCCTAGTAAGGCCGCCTTTTGCAATTGACTAATAGCGAATTTGTCAATGCCAATGTGTTCAAGTGGTGCTCCAGTTGTTTTGGGATTGCACCCAAGACGCCTATGACTATTGGTATCACCCTTGCTTGCTTTTGCCACAGTCTTTCTATTTCTATTTGTAGGTCTTTGTATTTTGTTATCTTCTCCAGTTCTTTCTCGTCTATTCTGCTATCTCCAGGCACTGCCACATCCACTATCCAGACTTTTTTGTCTTTCTTATCGACAATTGTTAAGTCTGGGGTGTTATGTTGCAGGTGCTTGTCTGTTTGAATTCTGAAGTCCCAGAGCAGTTTAATTTTATCATTTTCTATGACTTTCTCTATTTTATGATCCCACCAGTTTTTGCTTACAGGCAAATGATACTTTTTGCAGATCTTCCAATGCACCATTGTTGCTACTTTGTCATGCTGCTGCTATTATTATTATTATTATTATTATTATTATTATTATTATTATTAGCGGCGAATGTTACTCCTGGTTGCCAGTTACGTAAGCCCCAATTAGATCTAATCCTGTTTCGCTTTCCGATCCGCTAGGAAAATACAGACTCACGATTGCAAACAGAGCCCCCAACTTTTGTCGCTAAGTGAGACCGTGGTTAAGTGAGCTTTGTCCCCTATTATCACCTTTCCTACCGCCGTTGCTAAGCGAAACACTGCCGTTGTTAACTTAGTCATGCGGTCGTTAAGGGAACTGGGCTACGCCCTTGACTTGGCTCGTCAGAAAGTCGAAAAAGGGGATCGTGTGACGCCTGGGGACGCTGTGACTGTCGTAAATACGAACCGGTTGCCCAGCCTCTGAATTTTGATCACGTGACCGTGCGGATGCTGCAACGGTCGTAAGTGTGGAAAACGGTCATTAAGCGGCTTTTTTCGGTGATGTTGTAAGTTTGAACGGTCCCCAAAAGGACTGTTGTCAATCCAGGTTTGCCTGTATAGGAAAAAAATACATTCTGTAGCAGTTTGACGCCATCTCAGCCAATTTAAGGGGTGGACTTCAATTCCCAGAATTCCCCAGCCAGCCTTGCTGGCTGGGGAATTCTGGGAGTTGAAGTCCACTCCCCTTGAAGTCTGTATAATTCTGTATATAATTCAAGAATGTAGTCAACGCAGGACCTGGGAGTGACCCGCTGAGATTGAAAAGCAGGAAGAGGGGCTTAGAAACGGGGTGTGATTGTTCAGAGTTGTGATTTGTCGGTGTTGTGATGCAGACGCTCACCAACTGAGGGCATCAGAGATATTCCGATCGGCCC